ATATGGTCAAAATGTGTGTACATTCCAAAGCACAAGTCTCTAGTACTTGAAATACTTTTTTGTTTGCTTTATTTTTTCGATAAATCATCCGATAATTTTTTTTATCGAGAATAATCGAAAAATTGATTTTGTTTTTTCAGCCTCATTTGAACGTTATTTGATCTGAAGACTTCAGATTTACTGTGCATATACATATGATGAATACAAACATTTTGTAATCAACAAATTGAATACCACGGTCCCTTCGCCTTCAATTCGTAAAAAACGCATTTCAAATACTAGACTTGTGCTTTGGAATGTACATGCATTACGTTCTAAAAGTTTCATTAAGGTCGTACGTCTAGAAATTAAATTATTCAACAAGTAAATTTATATAATATTGCCCACACTGCAGCGCAGCCCAAGCGCAGTCGCTGCTTACTTCGAAGTTAGCAGAGCGCGGGCTTATGCGTGCGTCTGGATGCATGTATGTATATGTATATGTGCAGAAAAGAAGTACAGAATGATTAGAATATCAGAGTGGAGTCTCGACTAGAGCCTTCTTACTTGTTTTATATCAAAAAATATAATATTTATGTAAATATTGGGCTGCTTGGTAAATAACGGAGCTGCTCTGTACCTCTGGTTAGTGATACCACGAACCAAAGTCACTATGGTTAGGGCCATAGTGCAGTGGACCAACTATGGTCATATACATTTTTACTTACTCCGTATGCTCTGTTGCTGTTGCTCCTGCTTTGAATAATCAAATTAGTAATAGAAATGATAAGGCCGTTTCGTATTATAATTTATTCGTTTATAATATTTTTATTAATCATTTTAATAATCATTTTTATTACTTAATTTTAGGCGATATATCCTTAACGCACTTGTTTTTTTATTTTATTTTATTTTTTTTTCAATCTACCCGGTTGGGAGTACTGTGCTGGTCGTGGGCTGGGTATCGGTTTCGTATAGATTAATGACGGTGTTACATAAGTACATACATTCGTCTGTATGATTTTGCTTAAACATGTATGTATAAGTATGTCTGTCTAATAGTTATTACAACTTTCAATATTTAGGCCACTCGAATTTAAGTTTGTTTCACATGTATGTATATATGTATCGGTATGTGTGTGAGTTTGCACATACATTTTCTTATTTAATGTAACACTAATATATATTTATGTATACATGTTTGTAACTATGAATCAGCACAATGGGTGTGCAACATTATTTAACATAATATGCAGAATTCCAAAGTTCTTGTGGCAGTTGTCGAGCACTCTTCACAGATTATCGATTTAACTTGCTGCTGTTACTGATGCAGTTTGATTGCTGTCGCGGTCACTACTGTTGCACCGTTTGGCTAGGAGCTCTCAACCGGATCTATTCTACTCCCAAAATGTATATGTAGTTAGTTTAATAAATCATCATGTATGAATAATGCACGTACATTTGTTGTTTTCTTTTTTAAATTTGTTATTAGCTGTTCATTATTTGTATTACTGTTTAACGCTGTTAGTTTGATGCTCAATTAATATTGTATTCGTGTATCTAAGAGCGTGCGCAATATATGTGTATGTGTACGTAGGTATAGTGTATGTATTGGTTCGAAGTTGGATGACTGTATGTATGTATGTAACTGTGTCGTCTAGCCATCTAAACAGCAGTTTCGGTGTGACTGTGCGATGATAACCGTTCAACATCGATTTCGGGTATGGTCAGCTCATCGGGTATGTTATCAGCATAATCAATGGAAGATGTCTCCGATAGGCGTTTGCTCAGCGAAGTCTGCTTACGCAGCACCTCTGCCAGCGAAGTGTTGGTGTGCTCACCGTAACGGGCGTCAAGACCTTGCCGGAAGGCGTTCACCACACGTATCTAAGCACAAGTCAAGTAGAAAGAAAAGAACAACACCAAGAACAGTGACAAGATAGACAGGAAACGACAGTATAAGAAAGAATACTACTATTTTGCTTAGTTTTTATTTGTCATTCAACTGAACAAATCATATGCAAAACACATAACATACATATGTATATTTATTTATTATAAGATAACCAATCAAACAGAAACCAGAAATTGAAAATAATCACAGCGTTGAGTGTGGGTGGGTGTTAGTGTTGCGGGCATGTTTGAATGCTTGAGTATGTGCGCTGTGTATTATGACCGCGCAACCACAAAAATCTGACGCCTTATACTATGCTTCATCGATCGTTTTTGCAACATACTAGTGGCTGGGTGTGTGCGAGTGTAACAGATACATATGTATATATCTATATTATACGGACGGACGTATAAAGAAAGTAAAAGTCAGCTGGGATTGAAATTTAATTTTGAAGCACATGCATACACGCGAAGATAGAATGAATGAATACATGCAGTAGCAGATAAATTAGAAAACACTAAATCAATTCAAATATCACGTAAATGATTAACGATTTCATACAATTTTTAGTGCTTTATTCGATTATTTTAGGAATATGATATGCATAAGGTTTCATTTAATTAGAAGAGCATGCAATGGAAAGATATTGTCAGAATCCATTCAAGATCCCACGCAATGCCATGTGACATCGTGTAGTTACTAGCGATTCTTAAAGACATGAGGACGACCAATAAGCAAGGCCATGAAAACAATAAAAGAATCTTCGGCACGGCCGAACTCCTATGCTTTATGTCAACTATCACCAATTAAAACATATCTTACTTTAAATCAATTATATCCTTTACACTGGGAACCCATACACAACGGGAAATCAGTTTTGTAAATTTACTTTTAAATTAAGTATTTTTTTTTTTTGATTAAGTTAAACGATTAAAATATTTGTCAGGCAAGCAGACATGAGGGACATTCCATTACACGTAGTTCATGAACGATATTTACTATGTTTTCTGAATTCAAGTATCCTTCATAAAAACCGACAAATTAACTCAATAGAGCGGAATGCTTTTGATTAATTATGTCTCTTTGATATATGTATATTTGATAGATCTCTAAATCGGACGCATTTGTGATTTATTGTGAATTTTAGGCTTTATATTGGCTTGGTGTTGTGTACATAAATTTAGATAAAATAAATAAAGGCTTACAGCTTGATCAGTGTTGCTCTTGCTATAGGGAACCGGTATCAAGCGTTCTTGCAACTCGCCGCCTATTACCTTTAAAATTGAAAAGAAAGTACAAACAATAAGTGGGAAGAGAAATATACAGGTTGAAGTCAGTTACGTGTGACTGCCATAAAGAGATGCTACCTACACATATATATTTATATATATATATATATATATATATACTGCACAGCGTACATACAAACTTGTTTCTTACTTTACTTTGTCACTCAAAACTCTCAAAACTGTATTAATGTACGTGCGCCAATATATGTATATAAATCATATATATTATATCATATATATTCCGAATATGCGATATTAATCAAACTTATTATATCAATAGTGGAGTATAGCAGAGAAAAGAATTATACAGATATATATATATATA